GACGATCCAGTTTTCTTGTTTCGTCTCATTACTTTAGGTTTTTGTCTATTCTTGTCTTTTTCTTATTCATTTCTAATTGTTTCAACAGTCATAGATATATTTTTTGTGTGAGACTGCACTATATTGTCTCAATCTTTCATTAGTTAATCAATTTCCTTGATTTATTCAACGTTTACTTATGATTTGATAAAAAGACAAATGTGTATTTTTGATCAAAGAATATTCTTTTCAAGAAATATTCTTATCAGGTTCTACAAATTATAAAATACAATTTTACATTTATCGATTTAGTTTTAATATAATGAAGTGAAATTAGTGAACAATTCTGTCCTAGAACACCCAGTAAACACACTGTTGATAAAACTTGTAATGTCATACATCATGTACCAAAAAAAAAGCAATAGTAAGTGTAGCTTAGCTTATCAATGCTTACTCAATACAGCTGAAAGTGATACAATAAGATTATCGAAACTGGGATTTTACTTTCAGAATAAATATTACTATATTATTATTATTAGTCCCTTGGGTTCCTAGTGGAACATAGGGCTTCAGTAGCACGCCTCCAGTGACCTCTGTTCTCTGAGATCTTTTGAACCTGGTCCCACGACAGCCCACAAGCTCTCATTTCCTCCTCGCACGACCTCCTCCATGTCACCCTCACCTCGGACACCCAACTCGTCGCTTCCCATGGGGATTCCACTCGAGTACCTGGCCTGACGCGTGATGTCCTCAGTCGGCCTTCTCAGTGCATGGCCAATCCATCTCCACTTCTTCCTGCATATTTGTTGAGTGATAGGTTCTTGGTTGGTTCGTTCCCAGAGTTCCTTGTTGCTTATTCTTTCTGGCCATCTGATCTTTAGTAGCGAGCGTAAGCAGTTGTTGATGAATGTCTGTAGTTTATTGGAAATCCCTTTCGTGACGCGCCAAGTCTCTGAACCATACAGAAGCACTGACTTGACTGAGTTGGTGTTGAAAATCCGTATCTCGTTCCACATGCTGAGTGCAGTGGAGTAGATCTCCACACTGGTTTCAGGCTAATGAACGCCTGTCTTGCTTTTCCGATTCTGACTTTGACGTCCTCGTCCGTCCCGCCAGTAGTTGAAACAGTGCTTCCTAGATAGATGAAGGAGGTTACTTCCTTTAAGTTTCTCCCGCTGACGGTGATTGGGGTTTGTTGTTGTTGTTGTTGGTGGTGGTGGTGCGGTATCTTCATCACCTCTGTCTTCTCTATATTCACTTGAAGCAGAATAAATATGCCCAAGTTTTATTCCCCCATAATCCTTCAGTACACTAAATGCTACGGTTATCTTCCTTAGCTATTGTCTTTTCTTTCACTCACATCATTATTTATCTGCATACGTATATCATTTTAATATTGAGAAAATTTTTTAAAAAAATATCATGATAACCATTCCAAAACTCAATGTGCTCGTGGTTGTTGTCTGGGTGACAATATCCGAGTAGATTATTGACTCTCTAGTTGACAGTTTGGAGAGTTCACTTCCATTCCATCTGCTGATTCCTAGCACTTCCATGCCATTCCACCTCATCTCTTTTGCAATTTAAGCAGCCTTGCTAGCTTCATACATGGTGCAGATATTCCATGTCCCTATGTTTACTTTCGCTTTCATCGAGAGGAGAGAAGACATATCAGCCAATTGGCTTCTTGAAGGCTTTCACCAACTTCAATATGAAGTGAGCTGCCAATATCTCTCTGTCAGTGATCTGGTAGCTTGCCTTAACGAAGTGGTTTGTGACTGATTGTTTCCTTAGATTGTTGTATCATTGATAGACTGGATAGATTAGATTTTCCTGTTGGCTGTTCCTCTACTTCATTTCTGACCTTTCTGCCGTTTATCATCTTTCTTATTGGTTGATAGATTGGGTATATGTCTATACATCTGTTGATTGCTGACTGACTGACTGATCTGAATGCCAAGCTTCTAGGAATTCTCTGATATTCTTTGTGCTTCCTCTCTTCATAAGAAATCTCTACATTGTCGAAATTAGATTCATGTCCATGATTATCCAAGTGCATTGAAATAAGTGACGAAATATCGTAGCGTTTAATAACTAGTTGGTGATGATGTGGACGAAAGCGAAGAGGGTGACCACTTTATGTTGATGATGTCGTCCAGAAAGACGATGGAAGCTTCACGATTAAATAACCCAGCTCAGAGAACACAATACAACCAAGTTCCTTTGTACAATTTACAACCAGATACTTTGATCAGTTTACATACATCAAGTCAATAATAGACGTCAATATTTAGTGTAAAGATTTATTCACTGACGACTTCTCATCTCATAAAAACCACTGTTATCTCTACATCACTGTAATTCTCATCTTCATATTTACCAACTTCATGGATATTTTAATTCCTTGAATAGCTCTATGCCTTTGACATTTTTACCACTATCTTTTGGTTAAACACAGAATGACAGTTAACTCTCTACCTCAACTTCATCGACTTTGAAAAGATCTTCGATAACGTCGACCAAGAAGTAATTAAGCGACTCCTTCAACACTACGGAAAACCACAAACCTTTATCAACCTCATTCAATAACTATATGATGACGCCACATGTCAAGTGATCCAAAATAGAAAGCTCAGTGATGCCTTTGAAGTGAGGACGGGAGTATGACGAGGGTGCCTACTATCAACGATGATCTGCCTGAATATCGTTGACTGAATCACGCAGAGGACATTTGTGAGGAGTGAGAAGAGGGGCATACGCTGTTTGACCGATGAAAAGACCATAGAGGATTTAGATTTTGCCGATGATGATTTATGTCTAGTGTCACACAAACTTGAAGATCTACAGGTGAAAACTAACAAGTTAACAGAAAAGGCAGGATAGCAAAGACCAGACTTCAACTGAATGTAGAGAAGACAGAGGTGGTGAAGATAACCAACCAACAACAACAACAAGCTCCAATCACCATCACCTATCTAGGCAGGCAGCATCGTTTCAACTACAGGCGCCACAGACACAGACGACAACGTCACAGCAGCCAGGATTGGAAACACAACAAGACAGGTGTTCTTTAACCTGAAAACAGTGTGCAGATCTACTCCACTCCACTCCACTCAGCATAAAGCGTGAACAACATCTGGATTTTCAACACCAATTCAGTCAAGTCAATGCTTCTATATGCTTCAGAAACTAGGCGCGTCACGAAGTATTTCCAACAAACTGCAGACATTCATCAACAACTGCCTACACTGGCTCCTCACTGAAGCTCAGATGGTCAGAATAATAAGAATGAGCAAGAAGGAACTGTGGCTGGCTGGCTGGCTGACTGGCTGCCAACGAACCAATTAACAGCCTATCACTCAACCAATATGCAGTGGGAGGAAGTGGACATGGATTGGGCATACACTGAGAAGACCGACTGGGGACATCACACGCCTTTGGCCAGGCATTCGAGTGGAATCCAGATGGGAGCGATGAGTTGGGTGTTGCAACTGAGGGTGACATGGAGGAGATGATATGAGTAAGAAATGAGAGCTTGTGAGTTGTTGTGGAGTCAGGTTGAAAAGATTGCAGAGAAGAGAATGTACTGGAGACGTGATACTGAAGCCTTATGTTCCATTAGGAACCCAAGGGACAAGTATTATAAAATAAAAAATCTTTTGGTTAACCAGTAATGATATACCTAATGCCGCCATTATTATTTACTGTCGTTTAAGTTTATAATATTGAAGTATGAAAACTACACTTTGATATATCTCAAAGTAAATCATTATTTTGTTGCATAAAAATATTTTTAAAATAGGGTACACAACAGTTGTATACAACACTAGGCAGTAATAGTTCCTCCAGGTTCATACTTCAATAGATATACTTCAAAGTATTCGTCATCATACTCGAAGAAATAGGATAGTGAAACCAAACAAAGACCTCTAAGCTAATGGATTTTCAGCTTTTTTGTTTACAATGCATTCACACAATTCCTATCAGACATCTATTTCAGACATCATTTTATGAAGCATCAATGCATAATAGTCCAACTTGCTATACCTCATATTATCACATCAAGTAACAGTGGAATAAGAAGAAAGGTGAATAAATACATAAGAATCGGTCTGAGAAAGAATGATAAATTTCCGAATTCAGAATAATGATTGAGATAAAGATTATATGTAAATACATTAACGCTATTGAGGTCGATACTAAGCCATGTCACCTAGAATCTCCAGCTACTGTTTTCTGTTGTCATGCGGACCCCCACCAGGAAGTCTACATTCTAGCAAGATGAAGGCAATTGACAGAAAGCCATGCTTAATCTACCTTCAGTTCTTCATGACATTTACCAACAAAATGTATTTGAAACCTTTATAGAACTGATGTCCCTCTTGAGATTCGAAATTGCGTCAACCAGTTAGCTAGTCAGTCCAATTAACATCAATGCTGAGCTACCTACCCTTGGTGGTCACATTGGACTAGACAACATGAAGTTGGTTACTCTTCAATAATTAATCAAGTCTACACTTTTCTACATGGCTTACACCAACAGTCAAAGACTTCATACCATTGCGTTATGTATTAGTTCGGTTACTCTGAATTTTCTTCCTGCCTGAACCTACTCCAACTTCAACATTGATGTCAATTAATGGTGTATTCAATTCAACCTACTTTAAATATCCTAGTGTCCATGTATGCGTTCATTATTATTGATTAATAGTGAAATCTATGAGGTTCACTTCAACTGCTTTATCACTACTGGTTAGTTTATTTTTTGTAAGGAGGGTGTGTGTGTTTTCTTTTATTTGCAACTCTACACATAAGTATACACATATGCTAACAGGTGTTGTATACAAAAAGGAAGTTATTTGGTTCCAGGTCATTATACTTAATCAGTTATTATTTGACTGATTGCTCTATATGTAAGTGGTATGTTTTTGAAAAGAAAATCTACCTTTTCCTGCTTTAACTCATTTTATAATGTTGCCTCTTCTTTTCTTTTCCCCTTCTACTACATCATTATTTATTAGTCTCAGTTAGAAGAACAATCAGAACATGTCAGAGAATTAGAAGAGAAATTAAATTCATCAAGATTATACTCAGAAAAATTGGAATGTCAACTTCAAGATCTTATCAATAAACCAAGTTGTATTCCATCATCTGAACACTTTGAACAGAATACAGTAAGTTATTATTATTGTACTACAGTGTATAATATGATCTATGCCAAACTTGACTTTTATGCATGATTCAAGGGTATTTATCATTATTATTTGTGCCTTGTGTTCCTAGGGGAATATACGGCTTCAGTAGCACGTCTCCATTTCACTCTCTTCTCTGTAGACTTTTCAACATGGCTCCAACACTGCCAACAAGCTTTCCTCTCTTCCACACATGATCGTCTCCATATCACCCTCACATGCGAAGCACAACTCGTTGTTTCCCATTCGGTTTCCACTCGACGACCTGGTCTGGTGCGTGATGTCACCAATCGGTCTTCTCAGCCTATGTACAATCTAATCCAATCCAATCCATTTTCATTTTCTTTCTCATATTTGTTAGGCTCGCTGGGTTCGTTGACAGAATTCCTTGTTGCTTATTCTTATTATTCTGGCCATGTGATCTCCATCTTCAGTATGGAGTGAGTGAAGGTGGAAGCTGTTGATGATACGTGTCTGAAGTTTGTTGGGAATGCTTTTCTCAACGCGTCAACTCTCTCAACCATCACACAGAAGTACTGATTGACATTATTGTTGAAAATCCAGATTTTGATCACGTTTTATGCTGAGCGCAGTGGAGTAGAGTAGATCTCTACACTGATCGATTTGAGAATAATGCGGGAAGGCGTGTCTTGTTGTTTTTCCTATCCTGGCTGCCTTGACATCCCCATATGTGCCTGTATTGGGTGTAGTTAAAAAGATGCTGCACTGCTTATGTAGGCGTCAGTGAAAGAGACATCATCTTCATTTAGATTTCTCCCATTTATGGTGACTGGTGACTGGTGCTTGTTGCTGTTGCTGGTTGGGTATCTCCACCACATCTTTTTTCTCTATGTTCACTTGAAGGAAGTCCTGTTTTCGCTGCCTCACCTGCCAACTTGTTAGTTTTCGCGTACAGATCTTCGAGTTTGTGCGACAAGACATTAAGGATAAGTCATCATCGGCGGCGAAATGCGAATCCTGTAGGATGTTGTCGCCAGTCCAGTCAGAGTATGCCGATCTTCCGACAGCTTCTCACAGTTGTATGTTGCATGATCGAGTCCATTCCATTCCATTCCAGTCCAGTCGAGTCCAGTCGAGTCGAGTCGACCACAGTCAGGAAGATTATTGGTGATGATGGTAGGTGGCAACCTTACCTCACTCCTGTCCATTGACTCCACTTCGATGGCATCACTGAGCTTTCCATTGTGGATCACTTGGCATGTAGCATCATGCAGCATAGCATATGGCTGCTGTTGAATGAGGTTGATAAAGTTTAGTGGTACTAAAACTGTAGTGTTGAAGTGGTAGCTGCGTGTGAAATAACTTCTGGTTGACGCTGTCGAAGGCCTTTTTGAAGTCGATGAATTTGACATAAAGATGCATTTGACTGTCATTCTATGATGTGTTCTATGTTGATGAGTAGCGTAGCGTTGCAATTTGGCCCACACATGATTTGCTTTTCCTGCAGCCAGCCAGCCAGCCTGTTCTGATTGTAATTTTGAATTTAGAGCATTTTTTATTCTCTCCAGGATGATGCGGCTAAATATTTTGGTTGGGATGGACAGGAGCATGATCCCACGCCAGTTCTTGGAAATATTTATATATCGCCCATATTTGGTAGTTTGACAAGGTAGACCTTCTCGCAGTTAGTTGGCAGGTACCTTTCCTTCCTTCCATTCTTCCAAACCTTGTGTAATATTGGTGTGAACATGTCCACTGGTGTCTCTGTTTCTGTTGTCAATGCTTCTGGAGGAATTCCATCTAATTCTGCTGCTTTCGTGGCTTTCAGTCGCTTTATGTTATCCAAGTTTGTGGTAGTCGGAGTATATTCAGATGTTTTAGGGATCATGATTTATCATGTGAAACTCTCTAACCACTGGAAATCAGTCAAATTAACTTGATGTTTCAGTGCACCAATATGATTTTATACTCTTGTCCTGCGAAAAGTAATAGTTCATGTTGGGAATCATACAAAAATGCTTCATTTCGGCAACTTCTGTACGATGTAATAATAATAATGATAACAATAATAATAATGACAATAATGATAGTAATAATACCTTTATTCTGAAGGGATTTCAGGAATACTGTACAGAATTCTTAGCATATCATGTAGCATCAGTTGTTGGACAAAAACAGGTTAATATGTAAACATAATGAAATGAAGTAAATAGAAATTACATACATAAAAGATAAGAATATTCACTATATCTACAACCGTCTTGAAAATGCAGAGTTAATGATAATGGTTGATTACTGTTACTTCATTTCTCATACTTTCTTCTTCATAAAGTGAAGAGGTTGTTGATCACCTGATAAAATAACTTCTGCAAGATATTTACACGAGTTAATACGTTTGTCTACAACAGTTTTAACTAAATGGTTTAGAGGTACACCACTAGTTTTGCTGACAATCTTCAACGTACAGTATAATCTTTTTTCCACAACCGAGGAATAAATAAAGGGGAACAATAGGAGAGAATAAGCAAAATGCAGAAGTTTACATAACATAAGAGAAGAGTCTGAGGTATGCCAGATACTCTCAGCTTTCTAATGTAGAAAGTTAAGTGGAGGATTCTTTCGAAAATTAGTGAGATATAGTAGGACCAGGGAAAGTCCGAAGAAAAATGACATCAAGTTAAATCATACTTGTAACATTCTCTAATACACAATGATTAATAGAACACGAATCATGAGAACTAAGCAGTTTACATAGGTTGTACTCGCATCTAAACCTCAAGTTTATGTTCTAACATTTTGAAAAATAACGCATAAGACCATTGACGGAAACCATCGTCTAACACATTAGATAGGAAATCATTTGGTTTGGAGGATTTCATGAAGAGGAGACAGGTATGGAAAGTGCCAGGTCATCAGCATATTTGTTAAAACGGATACTAGCTGTAGATGGTAAATCATGCAGAAATAAAACAAAAAGATTGGGTGAACGGATATCTCCTTGGGGAATACCAGCCTCAGTAAGCGATGAAGTGGAGTACTTTCCTCTGTGAACTGTATATTGTTTTCTTTTAGAGAAAAGGAGTACAGCCAGCTGTTTATCCGGGACCTAAGTACTTTTCCTATCCGGCTAATCCAGCAAAATAAGTTCTGGAATGGAATCAGTGCTGAAGTATAGTTTAAATAGGCATACCTGATATACTTGACATTTCTATCAAGATTACATGCAAGACAGTTATAGCGTCCAGAGTGCTACTGTTACTTTCCTATGCAAATTGATCAAAGTCTCCGAAAGTCTTGAATGACGGTTTGATTATTAGTATTATTATTTGTCCATTGAGTTCCTAGTGCAACATAAGGCTTCAGTATCACGTCTCCAGTACATTCTCTTCTCTGCAATCTTTTCAACCTGGCTCCACAACAACCCACAAGCTCTCATTTCTTACTCATATCATCTCCTCCATGTCACCCTCAGTTGCAACACCCAACTCATCGCTCCCATCTGGATTCCACTCGAATGCCTGGCCAAAGGCGTGTGATGTCCCCAGTCGGTCTTCTCAGTGTATGCCCAATCCATGTCCACTTCCTCCCACTGCATATTGGTTGAGTGATAGGCTGTTAATTGGTTCGTTGGCAGCCAGTCAGCCAGCCAGCCAGCCACAGTTCCTTCTTGCTCATTCTTATTATTCTGACCATCTGAGCTTCAGTGAGGAGCCAGTGTAGGCAGTTGTTGATGAATGTCTGCAGTTTGTTGGAAATACTTCCCGTGACGCGCCTAGTTTCTGAAGCATATAGAAGCATTGACTTGACTGAATTGGTGTTGAAAATCCAGATGTTGTTCACGCTTTATGCTGAGTGGAGTGGAGTGGAGTAGATCTGCACACTGTTTTCAGGTTAAAGAACACCTGTCTTGTTGTGTTTCCAATCCTGGCTGCTGTGACGTTGTCGTCTGTGTCTGTGGCGCCTGTAGTTGAAACGATGCTGCCTGCCTAGATAGGTGATGGTGATTGGAGCTTGTTGTTGTTGTTGTTGTTGTTGTTGGTTGGTTATCTTCACCACCTCTGTCTTCTCTACATTCAGTTGAAGTCTGGTCTTTGCTATCCTGCCTTTTCTATTAACTTGTTAGTTTTCGCCTGTAGATCTTCTAGTTTGTATGACATTATACACAAGTCATCGGTGAAATCTAAATCTGCTAGGTTCATTTTCGTGGCCCAGCGTATCCCTCTTTCTTGCTCCTAACTGTTTGTTATATGATTCAATCCACTAAAATCAGAAATATCATTGGTGATAGTAGGCAGCCTTGTTCAAGCGCATGTATTATTACCTTTTTTTTATTATTTTCAGGAATAGAAAAGTAAACGCTTGGATAACTGAATTAAATTATACCTTGAAGTGAATTTTTCTTAGGATAATTTACGATTACAATAATGATCTGTTTACTCATCATCAAAGAGAAGTTATCTTTTTTTTTTCAAAAAAATGAATATATTAAGAAGTTTTATTTACATAATTTTAATTATTATTTTATAATTCTAGGCTAATTTATTGTATACAATGAGTGAAAAGAAATCAGTAACTACATCTCAATCATTATTGAAGACACCAACATTAACATCTACCTTAATAACTCCTAAAGTAGATGATATACTTCTTCAACAAACAATTTATACTTTTCAGTCACTTTTAGATGAACGTGATCAAGAGATTCATCAATTACATAATTATATACATGATCAAGATAATCAATCTAATACTGAATTAGTAAATTTATCAAAATTATGCGAATCTTCAATTCAAACTGAATTAAATAATGAACAAATAGAAAAATTATCTAATATAAATAACACCCTTAATTCAGGTGGTCATATACTTACTAATAAAGAATATGAAATATTGAATAGTGAATTAAAAGAAACATTGATAACATTAACAAATAATTTAGACGATAAACCATCAACTGTTACAATTGATCAAAATATAATCACTAATGATGATCTTATTCAAACAGTGAATAAACTTAGAAAATTATCTCAGAGTATAAAATTAAAACCAGCTATGATAGATACAAAATCTTCTGATAAGTAAGTCATTTGTTTTCGTATATTTTTCGTATATAAACAACAAAAAAACAACCGAAGTTAATGATGTATCATTCTGTCCCTTGGGTCCCTAGTGGAACATACGGCTTCACTGCACGTCTCTGTTTCACTCACTTCTCTGAAGTCTTTTCATTCTGGCTCTACGACTTCACAGAAGCTTTCATTTCCTCCTTACATGATCTCCTCTATGTCATCCTCAGCTGTGACGCCCAACTCATCATTTCCCATTTGGCTTCCACTCGAGTGCCTGGCCTGATGCATGATGTCTCCGAATGGTTTTCTCAGTTTATGCCGAGGCTAACAATACTGAGTGAAGTGGTTGAGTGTGTTGACCACTTCGTCTACATAGGAAGTAGGATCAGCCCAAGTCTGTCGGTAACCGATGAAATTTATGCATGAATGCAAAAGGCTAGATTGGCTCTTGCCAACTTACGCCATCTCTGATTGTCTGTTAAGGGTCGCGTGTACTACACAGCAGTCCCCTCTGTTCTATTGTATGGCTGTGAAACATGGTCATTGAAGGTGGAAGACATGACAAGACTGGCTTCAGGTGTTTGACCACCGTTACCTTCGTAGTATAGGCGGTATTTCATGGTGTCACCACTTGGGTAATGCAGAAGTCAGGTGTAGAGTTTTAGGAGAAGAGAAGAGGTAAATCAGTTGAAGAGGTTATGAACCTTCATCGACTGAGATAGCTGGCTGGGACAAGTACTACGTAGGCTCAGTCATCGATTGCCTCATCACACAATGTTGGCCTAAATAGGCCCTGGCTGGAAAAAGGCCTGACTGAGGTGGCCAGACTAAAACATGGCACCAATGTATGAAGTGTCTGACTGTTGGTTTGAGTCATGTGGGGCGATGCAGACTAGGTGTTTGGGTCAGCGGGACAAGAGGAACGAGTGGTTGGAGACTGACTGTAGGTGATGGCATGGCTGAGAACCGATATGAGTGGTTCAGATGTATACAAACATTATCCTCATCTTAACTACACTATACCGATTCTCACCATTTTGTTATTCTTCCTTTCTTTCTTCTCCTACTTTGTATTTCTTTTGATTGAATTTCCTTCACTTCACTACGTTTCTACTTGATGTAGTGATATGATGTGTGGCAACTCGGATTGTGTTGCGCAGTAATTCCTGGTTCCTGTTGATATTGATTGATTGATTGATATATTTGTTGGACGATGGGTTGTTGGTTGGTCCGTTGCTTATTCTTTCTGGTTATCTGATCTTCAGTATTGAGTGAGTGTAGTTGACAGCTGTCGCTGCATGTCTGCAGTTTGTTGGAAATGCTTTTCGTGACGCGCCAACTTTCTCAACCATCACGTAGAAGCACTGACTGACTTGACTGAATTATTGTTGACAATCCGGATACTGTTGACGCTTTATGCTGATGCAGTGGAGTAGAGTAGGTCTCCACATCGATTTCAGATTGCTGAAGGCCTGTCTTGCTGTCTTTCCGATCCTGACCTTCACGTCCTCATCTGTGCCTATGCCGCCAGAAGTATTTGAAACGATGCTGCCTAGGCAGGTAGGTGAAAGAGACATCTTCTTCTAGATTTCTCCTGTTCATGGTGATTGTTGCTTGTTGGTGTTGGTTGGGTGTCTTCATCACCTCTGTCTTCTCTGACTGACTGATATACAGATCTTTTTATTATTATCCTAGGGAATGATAATATTTCTTAATTTCTTTGTCGTTTCTTTGTTTTCTGCTATAGTCCGAGTCTTCTGTCTTCTTGACTAAATTTTAAAATGATCGATAAATCAGGGCAGAGCTTAGCACTAGGTGACATAAAGTTGGTTACTCTCTAGGGGGATTAGTCCATTAGGATGTCTGTCGTGACCTGACTAGCTCAGTAATGACTTTTCAGCAACAGAACTGGATGATGCCCGAAGTTTTGAGAGGAAATTAGTTCCTCCTACGTCATAGATATGCTGTGCTGAATAGTGCCAACAAGTATTGAACTCGGTTATGTGGATTCATGTTGATTACCTGAAAGCACCTAACATCGAATTTGATGAAGTTCATAGATGGAAAGCAGTCATCTTATCTTATGTTTGAAGTTAGACGAGAAATAGTGATTTAGAGATTTCTCATGTTGGTATTCATCATGGACTGATATTTGTTGGAGGAATAATGGAAACCTGGGAGCACTGGACAGGTGTTTCGTGCGAGTATGGAACTCTTCAGCAGTGCGTATCCACAACCTCGCCAGGACAAATACTTAAAGATGACATTGGGTTATGGTCGCACTGTGTTGTGAACTGACAGAAGTTGGAAATATGGATCACTGGATTCCGACCCAGTGGCTCAATGGTAATGTGCTGCCCATGGGACCTGAAGGTACTGGGTTCGAGCCCTGTTGAGGTCGTGGGTGCGCATTACTGAGTAGTCCCATACTAGAACAAAACAGCTGTCCAGTGTTCCCATGTTTCCAATGTTCCTCCAACTGATGTCAGTCCATGATAAATACCAACTTGGAAAATATTCAACTTAGCTTAGAAACTCCCAAACCGTAGCATTACTGAAATAAACAATTACTAACATTGCTACTCCTACTTCAGAGTAATCCTTCAGATGGTTTATGAAATGGTTTCCTTTTGTATACAATAATAGGAGAATTCCTGAAGCTTTATAGTGCATGAAATTTGGCTCAAACTTGGTGAATGAAACTATGTTCGGATATTGCGTATTGTAAAATGACAGAATCCAAGTAAACATCTATCAATTTAAATCTTTATAAGTCTGAAATACTGTCAGATCTATGTTAATACAACTTAGATCTTGTATCAACTTCTCGCTTGGTGTTTAATGTTTACGTAGAGATTTGATCATATCTTGACCAAAGTTAATGATGAAAAGTGGTTAACAGTGGATTCTAAGATGCGCATTTTGTCTTATTTGGAACTCATTGGCTGAATGTAACTGGCCTCTAGTGCGTGATTTCGCTCCTGAATTCCTCTACTAGCTACTGTCTGTCGGTTGAATCGAAGCCCATATGCCAATAGTGGCCTATCAGTCCGATCCGATCAGCGACTGAGATTTACAGGCTATGATATCAGTACTTGATCAAAGTTACTATAAACTATTTGGTGTTCTGGTTACTAAGATACAAACAGATATATGAGGTGTTCCCAGGTAGCCAACTTACTGGTGTTTATTGGCGTGCAGCACCTGAAACTCCGTAGAATTTTATGGCTTGTTAAAGTTATTACTAACGGGTTACTCTGAAGTCTTTTCAACTACAACCATTCTTCATTAGTACCAGACTGTATATATTATGATTTGGGGGTTTGAATTACATAGACTGAACAGTTTCAACACATTCTTGCGCTCGAGTCAGTTTTTTTCCAATTCTGAAGATAGGATTACTTCTCTCAACGTCTCAGATGCATGTGAAGATGAACGCTAACGGAGACTGAAACTTGACATCAGTAAAGAACTTATGAATACATTCTAGTTTTCTTCTTTTGAAGTTGTAAATGCCAAATGTAGGATTGTGAATCTTTAGAAGAATTGGTAACCTATTTGAATTAAATTCAAAATCTAATACACGAATCTTAAATGGAGAGTACACTACTAGGAGCTTTATAGCATTTGATACTACGCCATTGCCCATAGTAGAGGATTATTTCTTTTAGGGTACATGAATTGAATTCTGAGTGTCTGGCGTGAGCTTGACATCTGTAAAATGTAATATAATGTTCCAAGACTAGTCTGCAACTACCCTAATCACTTTAATGATCAAGAGTGAAGTGATAGGATGCATCGATCACCTCTCTTACTTAGAGAGTTGCATCAACCCGAAAGAGTTGTTTTTTGACATAATCTCAGCTCAGATACACAAGGCACGTTTGGAATTTACCAACTTACGTCAACTGACGAGACATCCGACTACCTGTTAAACAAAGAGTATAATACCCTGCAGTTCGTTCTGTCTTGTTATAGAGTTATAAGACATCGTTGTTGAAGGCAGAAGAAATGAATCAATCACATGTGTCTCCACAGCATTGCTCATGTCTGGTAGACTCAACACATGAGTAATTTTCAGGTCTGGGGAAGGGTAGGAGACAACACAGGTAAGTCTATTGATAAGGATCTAAATCTTAATCGGCTGAGATTGTTTGGACGTGTGTTGCGCTGCCTATGCCAAGCCATCTCCTACCTCAGAGTGCCATGTTAAGTAAGTTAGATTAGGTTTAAAAGTGTTCAGAGTGACCAGACCAGTCGATGAAGTCTGTGACTGTTTGTCTGAACTGGGTATTATTATATTATTACTTGTGCCTTGTGTTCATAGGGGAACATACGGCTTCAGTAGCACGTCTCTATTTCACTCCTTCTCTGTAGTCTTTTCAACCTAGCTCCACGACTCCCCAGAAGCTTTCATTTCCTCCTCACATGATCTCGTCCATATCACTCGCACTGGGACACCCTACTCATCATTTCCCATTTGGCTTCCACTCGAGTGCCTGGCCTGATGCATGATGTCTCCGAATGGTTTTCTCAGTGTATGCTCAATCCAACCCATCTCCACTTTGTTAGGTTGTTGGTTGGTTCGTTGCCAGCCAGCCAACCAACCAACCAACCAACCAACCAGCCAGCCAGCTAGCCAGTCGGTCACAGTTCCTTCCTGCTTATTCTTATTATTCTGGCCATCTGAGCTTCAGTGAGGAGCCAGTGTAGGCAGTTGTTGATGAATGTCTGTAGTTTGTTGGAAATGCTTTTCGTGACGCGCCAACTCTCTCAACCATCACATAGAAGCACTGACTTGAGGTTTGTGTTAAAAATTTGTATCTTGTTCTTTATGCTGAATGCAGTGGAGTAGAGTAGATCTCCACACTGGTTTCAGGCTAATGAAGGCCTGTCTTGCTGTCTTTCCTATCCTGGTAGCTTTGACATCCTCATGTGTGTCTGTGTTGCCTGTAGTAGTTGAAACGATGCTGCCTAGGTAGGTAGGTGGACGAGACAACTTTCTTTTA